CCTTGTGTCACAATGTTGAAAGTTGCTATAAACAATATATTGAATGACCCAAAAGGCATAAAAAGAAAATGGAGGGAATACGCAGAGTCATTGTACCAAAAAAAATTGATTGCCACTGAAAAATTTCAGGAAGTACTATATGCACAGGAGCTAAACGTTATGAAAGAATAAGTGGAAGCTGCATTGAAGTCATTTGCAAAAATATAGGGCCCCAGGAATCTATGGGATACCAACTGACTTGTTTCAATTAACAGATGCAGCCTTGGATGCACTCAGTAGTCTATGCCAGGAAATTTGGAGGATGGCTGTATAGTCAATAGATTAGAAGATGTCCATGAATATAGATGATGGCAAAAGGAAGGTTGACCCTTCACATAATGATAGATAATGGCTAGAAAAGTCAGTGAGTTGGCTGTGGTGTGAGAAACCTTAAGAACTGGCTTTTCTCACCATTATGTTAGCCCCTATTGGGATAAAAGAGCATAGTCTCCAGTGATCTTAACTGTGGACATATGGTCTTGCAAATCATCAACAACTGTGGGACCAATGTAAAAGAGAGAACTTTCTACACTGTGAGGTACCTTGGTGTTGGTGGTGGAGAGACTTTGGCACTGCTGTGAAGATACTGTGACAAACTGTAACCAGAGGAACTTACATTTATGCCAGAGTTAAGTTTTCCCTGCCAGATGATTGAAGAAAAAGCTGAGATAACTATTCTGAGGTAAAGTTGACTGGATGATTGAGAAAACCAGAGGCTTTTTAAATCTATTCTGCTAAACCCAGCTGTCACTAATTGAGGTATTGTGTTTTGTTGTTAATCTGGCTTGGAATTGCCAGAATAAATTTGGATTTGCATTGTATGATATACTTTATCTCTCTCACTCTCCAACCAATTTCCCTAACAAACCCCACAACTGTGAGTAAAGTCTGTGACTCAAAAAGAATTAATGGACACAATGATTTACAGAAATAGGTGCAGGAGCATTTAGAGTGATGTATCTGACCAAACAGTTATTTTTTTTATAGTTTTTTTTTTTACTTATTGACTGTGGATCACAGCAAACTGTGTCTAACTCTGAGAAGAATGGGAATCCCAAAATACTTGATTGTACTTCTGAGAAATTAACAAATATGACTGTCTTGGAGAGAGTGAAACTAAGTTTTTCCTTGTAGACTAGGATTTTGAAACTCCATCTCACATATTTTGGGCACATGGCCATGAGGGACCAATCTTTGGAGAAGGCTATCATGCTTGGAAGGATAGAGGAGCAGCGCAGGGGAGGAAGACCCAGGGTGAGATGGATTGATACAGTAATTGGGGCAATGGGGTTAGGTGTGTCAAAATCAGGAAGACTGACTCAGGACAGGGCAGGTTTCAGTGTGCTGCTGGACATAGGGTTGCTATGGGTCATAGGCAACTTGATGCTATATAAGAACAACAATATACTTGACTAGGAAGCAGTCATGAGAACAGAGAAAGGAAACACTGCAAGGTTCAAAATCAGAAAAGGTGTGTCCCCAGGTTGCATCTATCTCCATGACTTTTAAATCCATATTTAAAACAGATTATCCAGGAGGTGAGGCTATATGAGGAGGAATGTAGCATTAGGATTGGAGGAAAATTTATAGACAACCTGTGTTATACAGATGCTTGCTTGCTGAAACAGGAAGTCCTGAGGCATTTGCTGCAGAAGGTCAAAGATTACAGCCTTCAATATGAATTGAAGCTCAACCTCAAGAAAACAGATTCCTACCATTAGGCTGATTGACAGCATCATGATAGACAGTGAAGAGATTGAGATTGTTAACAGCTTCAGCTTGCTTGGCTCCACAATCAACACTCTTGGTACCAACAGACAGAAAATTAAAAGATGAATTGCAATGGGAAAATCTGTTGTCAGGGACTTCTTCAGAATTCTGAAGAGCAACAATGTCAGTCCAGAGACTAAGCTATGCATCAGAAAGCTGTACAATGACTAAGGATTACAGAAGAAGAATTTATGCCTTTGAGCTGTGGTGCTAGAGAAGAGTATTGAATATACCATGGACTGCTAAGAGAACAAAGAGGTTCATCCTAGAGGATGAAACCAGCCTACTCCTTGGTGACAAGTGTTCTGAAGCTCTACTTGACATAATTTGGGCATGTTGCAAGGAGGGACCAGTCCTAAAAAAGGGACATTTTGCTTGGAAAGGTAGAGGGACAGCGCAAGAGAGGAAGATCCTGGATGAGATAGATTGACTCAATGACTAGGGTAATGGGGGTAGATTTGTCAGAGACATCACAGCTTTTGTACATATGTTCCCTATGAGTCACAAGTGACTCCATGGCACATAACAACAACAACAACAAATGGATATTTCCCCCCATCTTTTTAAAAAATAATACTAGTTTATTTACAAAATTAGAATTGATTGTTTTTCAGGACATGTCCTTCCAAGTTTCCTCACTCCCTCCATCAAACTGTACAGCGCCATGATTAATTCATCCTCCTGCCCTATACATCCTCATCCCTCTGTTTCCACCACAGCCCCCACTCCTTTGTATCCTCAAACTCATGCTACAATAATGGCTTTATATAATATTTGTCCTTGTAGGATTGAATCCGTTCACTCAAAATGCTCTCCAGTCCCTCCCAAGCTAGGTAATAATTTACAAAATCATTGCTCCTATCTGCCTCAGGCATTCCATTATATAAATGCACCATAATTTCTCAATCTATCCAATTTTGGTTGGACATCTGGGTTGTTTCCCTGTTCTTGTGATGGTGAATAATGCAGCTATGACCATTGGTGTACAGTCTCCGTTTGTGCCACAGTTCTCAGTTTCTCAGGGTATATTCCAAGCAGTGGAATAGCTGTGTCATATGCAATTTCTTTGTTCAGCTTTTTGAGGAAGCACAGGACTGCCTTCTAGAATGGTTGCACCATTTTACAATCTCACCAACAATATATAAGAGTTCCTAGCTCACCACATCCTCTCCATGGTTGCACCATCTTACAATCTCTCCAACAATACATGAGTTCCTAGTTCACCATATCCTCGCCAGCATTTGTACTTGCTGTCCTGTTAATCTTTGTCATTGTTACTGGAGTGAGATGGTATCTCATTGTGGTTTTGATTTGCATCTCTTTTATTGCCAGTGATTTGAAGCATTTTTTCATGTGTCTGTTGGCCTTTCGAATATCTTCCTCTGTGAAAATTCTTTTGCCCATTTTGTAATTGTGTTATCAGTCTTTTTTTCTTGTGGAGGTCCAGGGGCATTCTGCAAATTTTTAATACGAGACTCTTGTTTGAGATGGCATTGCCAAATGCTTGCAACCCAGTCAATAGGTTTTCTTTTCAGCCGGTTGATAAAAGTTTTTGATGCGCACAGGTATTTCATCTTTTGAAGGTCCTGTTCATCAATTTTATCCTCTTCAGATTGTGCATTTCTGGCTTTATTTGGAAGTCTCTTTATACCATAGACTAGGGCTTCTAAGCTTGATCTCAGTTTAACAAATGGCTATTCTTGAAGGGGACAGCTCCTCTTTACAAAGCAGACAGAAGTCAGACTCAGCCACTTTCATGTTGTATCTGCTCCTTTTACATAGTCCAATAGTTAATTCAGTAAACCACCAAGGTTCCTTGCAAATATGTTTTATTTACAATGTTACTTTCTGCACCTCCATTTTCAGTCTCTGTATCTCTGTTGCCTTCCTATCTGTACTGCATATACTTTAGTCGCTAAGAACAGATGTCTTACTTCTTAATCAAGTAAGAAAAAATTGGAACTCTTGGAGCTCAATAATAAAGGAGATCAATGTAAATCCTCTGTAACTCAACAATAGTTGGGTTGCTTGAAAACAATTTCCTGATTTCTTTATAGACATCATGTCCTGCTCCCTCTCACTAGGTCAGGAAAAAGTCAGTAGTCAGCAGATGGCCAAGTCAAGATAGCAAGTGTATGTTCCTTAACCAGGTAGCTTAATTGACTCCTGCCAGTTGGTCTGAATTTGCCCCCAGCCAAGGGCACTCAGCGCGAGACTTGGCCTGGAGCCTGGCATCAGTGACTGCATCTTCCTCTGGCTCAGAGGCTCACTTCACTGTCCTTGTGCTCCTCTCCCTATCTTTAAGTCTGAGAAAGCAGCTTGAGGAGTGTCAATCCTGGCCTAGTCCCTTCCTGAGGACAGCCTAGGTGGAATAGCCAGATGGAGAGGTGTCATTTAGTCATGATTGTTGAAGGAAGTGAGCTTACTCTCTTGCTCTGCTTGGCTGTTTAGTGCTGGACTTGCAGGAACCTTTTTGTTTGTTTGTTTAAAAAGGGAAAAAGCTGGTCCCTCATCCCTGCACTCTATCGCAAAACAGTCCGCACAGAGGTTAGAGTAAATCTCTGAGATTTACCCAAAGTGGTGAGAGGAAGGGTTAATATTTGGCTTGTTGGGAGGAAGACCAGTGGGCCCTGTGTGGCATTTGTGTGTAAGAGAAAAAAGGCGAGAGAAGCAGAGAGGTCCAGACATTTGGCAGTAGAAATAAGGAAGGGAGTAGAATAGGGAAAGACCGGTGTCCCAGTTCCTTGGAGCAGAGATCTCGGTATTCCCTTTCCTGGGGCTCCAGATTTCCACAAACAATGACATCACTGGGCACGGCTGCACGCTGCGGAGGGGGCGGGGACAGCACCCGGGCGGGCCGGCCAGAGCCAGAGGCGCTCTCCAGGGTGCTGAAGGGGCAGGGGCGCAGGTCCGAGGCGCCCCAGCCAGCACAGACCTGCGGCGAGACCTCCTGGGCAGGGGCGGGGCTGGACGCTTTCCCGGTTCTCATTGGCCGTTGGCGGAGGCACGTCACCAGGCTAGTGCTCTCCTCCAGCCCCTGTAGAATTGGAGCTGAGGAGGAGCTGAAAAATGCAGATTTAGCATCAAACACATATACTCGCTCTTTCTTCCAGATACACACAGCTCCCACATTCGCACCCCTGCCGGCGATCTGGAGCGCCTGACTACACGGCTTCCCCGCCAGCCACCAGGCTGGAGGAGAACACATTGATTTGGAGCTTTTGAAGCTAACTAGTCTTTTTCTCTGCATAGTTAAATATATATATATACTTATTTTTAATACAGTGTTTTCTTCTTTTTCATTTGCATCTCCCGTCCGGGTCTTCTCCAGCCTGCGCGCCTTCCAGCCTCACTTTTCACTCCCGAAGAAAAATGACAGGAGGCTGTGTCTCCCAATGGAAGGCGGCCGCTGGGCTCCTCTTCTGTGTCATGGTTTTTGCATCTGCCGAAAGACCAGTCTTCACGAATCATTTTCTCGTGGAGTTGCATAAAGGGGGAGAGGAAGAAGCTCGTCAAGTTGCAGCAGAGCACGGCTTTGGAGTCCGAAAGGTAAGGTCTCCCTTGCATTTCGTCTGTTCCAAAACGGGGGCAGCCCTGCGCAATCTCATTGCAGACTTGCAAGTTTTCGCTCTCGTGCGCTGCAGATATTCTGCCATCAGCTTTTTAACACGACATTGCTTCTGGTGATCTTTCACGGGTTATGTAATTAAAATGTCCTTCAGATTGTACTAGTAAGGTCATAAAAATGATTTATCACTCTGTGCCTGGGTGAAAATTTCAAATTATGTTGTGCGCCCAGACAACTGTCAGAGGTACCTAGTTCTTAGATTGGAGAGAGAAGTAAATAGCTTAGCTTGGCCTTGGCTACTTTGCCAGGATGCCTCCCCCACCCACAACCCCTGGAGAAAGGGTCTTTTGGACGCTCAAAGCTCACTCCTTGCACAGTGCAGTGCAGTTCAGTGCTTCTCAGACCCAGAGCCAGCAAGACTTCCTCCCCAGGGACAGTCCCGCCCTCTTCCAGCCACCACAGATCCTGAGCTTCAAGTCTCTGAGACTACAAAGTCTCTCACTCTATAATACGGCAGAACTTGAGCGCCTTCATCCCACCACCCACCTCAGAGCGCGCTGGTCTTGGTTCCCACTTCTCAACTTCCAGCTGTGGAAGCTCAGCCTGGTGGCAGGATTTTGTGGAGCATCCCCTACAGAGAATTCGGATGTCCTCTCTTGAAATGTTGGCGGTCATCTTGCTTTCCCCATGGGATCATGGAGATTCTTGTTTTAAGAAGTTGTTCGCATTTAATTGTTTGGGCAACCAGAGGAAGCTTCCAGCCTAGAACACCCCAGGAATCCCAAGGAGATTCCCGGGAACCCAGAGTTGGGGCGCGAGAGTGTATGGCAGGGTGCTGTGCGGGAGGCGGAGGCGGAGGTGTTTGCTCTTCCTGGAAAATAGCGTGCCAAGAACCTTGGGTGTTTTAGGGGACTTGATGTAGAGATAAGATGAAGATCTAAGAAGAATCCAGGGGACTTAAGGGAGCAATATGACTTCCAAAGGAGTGAGTGGAGGTCAGTGGCTTTCCTGACCTTATTAATCTTCTCCTGGTCCCAGGAGGCACAGCTGGGAGGCGCGGGACTTAATGTGTGCTGAGTGACTCTGGGTGCTGCGTTTGCCTTTCAAGGGCAGCGTGGACTGGGGTTCCTCAAGCCCCTTCTGGCGAATCTTCTTCGCCTCCCGCCTCTGGCAGCCGCGAGAGTACTCCTTCATGCTCCTCCACCTCCTAGGGCGTAGGCAGCTGCTGAGATTTTGGCCCCAAATAGGCTTGCCAGCGAGTGTGACAGAGGTCTGGTCTGTGTTTGCCAGTGGCGCGCGGGCGGGTCCTGCAGGAGGGAACTTGTTGCTCTGGGGAAAGCATGGGTGGAGCAGGGGGAGTACCCCCCCCCCTGGTTGCCTTCGTCCAAGGCCTGGAGCCCCTTGCAAGTATGCGACCAACTCAGTAAACAGGAGAAACACTCAGTGAACACTCATGCCTTCCCTTCAAAACTCTGCAAGACCCACCACCAAGGCACTGTTACAAAATACAATGATTGCTATTAGCTGGCACTTTCTTGTGCTAAACTTCCTATATGCATTCTTGTTTAATCTTCTAATGACCCTACAGTGCTGAGGAGGAAATTGTGTCAGATAGAGCCCAACTAAAATTTGTTAAGGATTTAATCCCAAGTCTTTCTGAAATGAAGTCCATACTTTTTACTCCTTACCCGTGGCCATCAATTCCAACTCATAGTAACACTCCATCAACCCTAAACCACCACAAACCTTGGAAAAGGAGATTGCCAATCAGTCTGGTGGATGGTGGATATGAACCACTGACCTTTCTCTTACCAGACTAATAGCTTCATTCATACTTTGTTACCAGGGCTTCTTAGAACAAACCAATCTTCCTCCACTGGGAATGTAGGGCTTTGGAGTATGCTGAAATGGATGTAGTTTCAGGATTTTTAGTTTGTGAGAGAAAAGGGACTGCAGTTGATGCGGAAATATGTGACACTCTTCTTCAGCATACACTTTCTCTGATGATGACAGGAGTAATCTCACTTGTTTCTCTCCTCTCCATTTTGTCTTTTGAAAATGCGTTGTTAAGATATAATTAGAAATGTATCCAAATCTTGAGTGTAGATGAGACTAAAATGGATTATATGATTAATATTCCATAAGGATTTTTTATAAAGAAATAAATAGTTTCAATGAGGGATTTATAATTTGGGTGACAGATATGGAGCAAAGACATGTGGACATAATGCCTTAAAATCTCAAGAGAACTTGGTGCATTGGGGTAAATTGAAGATGACAAATGCCTTGGCCTCATTTCTTCTTGGGGAGGTCCTACTATATTACAGCACAACCTCCAGTCTGCATTTCCAGTCTGGGACAAGTGTGTTACAACCTGCCTTAGTTTATTTTCTTATAGTTAAGGGAGTTGTAAATCTAAACTCAGAGTTCTAAGTTTTTCCTGGTGGCTTTGGGCTCTGGTCCTTGTCTTTCAATGTGTTTCCTGGTTCCCTGGAGATATCTGTGTACCTTGACATCAATCTTCCTATTTCTATTTCTTAGTTTTGTTTCGTCTCTTTTAAATTTCAAAGATATGGACTTATAATAATCTAGGTTTATTACCATAACAAACAACCTATTCCCAAATGTGATTATTCCTAAAGCCTCAAGGACTAGTATTTATTACACATATTTTCAGAGAATCCTAATTCAGTCAATTATTCAATCAATCAAACAATTATTCAATCAATCAAACAACGCCTCTTAGCTTCTTCAAACAAGTCTCAACTTCTTAAACAAGTCTAGTGGGTTTGTCCCTGATACCTAAAGAAGTCGATAGCAGTCTGTGAAAAATATTTATGACTGAGGAGTGTTTGTGTGGTGCTATTTTGATCTCAAACATTTTTTTTCCTTCCTCCGAATAGCAGTAGGTGCAGGGCTTTTTGTTTTTAATTTAGAATGGTGGTCTGCACATGAGCTCGTTGTTGTTAAGTGTCACTGTGTTGACTACAACTCATAGTAACATTGTGAACAACAGTTCTGAACCCTGTCCGATCCTGTATCATCCTCATCATTGCTGTCCACAGTGTCAATTCATCTGACTGAGGATCTTTCTCTCTTCTGCTGGTCCTCCACTTTCCCATCCAAGAATGATATCCTCCTCCAAGAAATAGTCTCCTATCTACATGCGCAAAGTATGGGAAACAAAGTTTTATCATCTTTGCCTCCATGAAGCATTCTGTGTGCTTTCTCCAAGACATATATGTTTTTTTTTTCTTTTGGCAGTCCATGGGTATTTAGTACTCTTATCCAACACCACAGAGGGAAGGCTCCCATTCTTCTGTCATCTTTAGTTACTGTGCAGCTAGCAGAAGCATAGCAAGTGATGGTAAGGACCATAGCATGAATAAGTAGTATCTTAGTCTTCAAAATTATATCATTGTTCCTCAGTAATTTGGAGAGGTTTATGAGAGAGGACTTGCTCAATACAATATATATATCCTGATTATTTTACACAAAGTGTGTTAATTATGGATCTAAGCAAGAGAAAATCATTGACAGTTCCAATCTTTTCTCTATATAGCATGATGCTGCTTATTAGTCCAGTGGTGAGAATTTTATCTTTTTATGTTGAGATGAAGTGCATATTGAAGGTTGCAGTTTTTGATCTTCAAAAGCACTTCAAGTCACCCTCACTTTCAGCAAACACATTCAGCATTACACATGTTGTTACTGATGAATGTTCCTCCAATCCCAATGTCACATTATTTTTCATTGAGTCCAGCTTCTCAAATAATTTGCCTAAGATACAGAAAGAATGTCATTGTTAAGTGTCATTGAGTCAAATATGACCATAATGATCCCATAAACAACAGATCTGAACCCTGTCCTATCCTGTGCCATCCTCACAATTTCTGACACATTAGTGCTCATTGCAACTTGTCACTGGGCCAATTCATCTGTTGAGGATCTTCCCTTTTTTTGCCACCCCCCACCCATCTTCCAAAGCATGATGTCGTCTTTAAGGAATAACCTCTTCTAGAAACATACTCCAAATATGTGAGATAAAGCTTTATCATCTTTGCCTCTAAGAAGCACTATGGCTGTACTTTCTCCAAGACATGTATTTTTTTGTACTTTTGGCAGGCCATGGGATGTTCAGTACTCTTCTTCAACACCATAGCTCAATGGCATCATTTCTTCTTCTGTCATCCTTAGTTATTGTCCAGCTGTCAGGTGCTGATCAGATGCATCTAAGTCCTCAAACGGACATCATTGCACCTCAATAATTTAGTGAGGTCCTCACTTGCAGACTTTACTAGTTCCATACATCTCCTGATTTCCTGTCTGCTGGTTGTTGTTACTGTTGTTATTAGGTGCTGCTGGGTCAAGTACAACCCATAGCAACCCTATGAACAACAGATCTGAACCCTGTCCTTTCATGAGCCATCCTTACACCTCCTGACACAAGAGAGCCCATTGTCAATCAACATCTCAATTACAAGTCACCATGTCAGTTTATCTAGTGGAGGATATTTCTCTTCTTTGTGACCCTCCACCTGAAGACTGATTTGTTTGCTTTTTTGTTGGTACCAAATATACTTATTGGGGATCCAAGTAAGATGAAATCATTGACAACTTGTTTCAATCTTTTCTCTATCTATTATGTGTCTATTGGTCCAATGGTGAGAATTTTCTTTTTATTGATGTTGAGATACATTTCTTGGTATTCTTCAGCAAATACTTCAATCCTCTCCTCATTTTCAGCAAGCAATGTGGTGTCATCAGCATGACACAGATTATTGATGAGTCTTTCTCTGATCTAATTCCTCTTCGTAAAGTGTAGCTTTTGGAATAATTTGCTCAGCATACAGAGTGAATAGATATAGCAACAGAATACAATCCTGACACACTCCTTTCTTAATTTTAAAGCATGTAGTATTCCCTTGCTCTTTTCGCACAATGGTTTCACATGAGCACAACCAAGTGCTCTGGGATTCCC